TAAGCATACACAAACTTGGTATGACAACATCTTGCAAACTAAAGATGTTTAACACTTATTGACTGGGGAAACAGTGTGTTTTGCAACAAGAAACAGCCTAATAAATTGACAAGAAACCGCCTTAAATTTCACACTTTTATAATTATAAAGAACTATTGTTATTAAGAACCTCAACAATTTGGACGAAAGTGCAACAAGGACAGCTAATAATATCATATTAATTACAAGAAAATGAGAAGAAATGAACAATTAAAATCCCACGGACGTTTTAGCCGTTGCTCTCGGTTTACAATGCCAAAATACAGATTATCACATCTTGTATACAACACTTATGGTACATTTCAAGGTAGAACAACTGCTACTGTCATATGGTGAGGTGGTTTTTCAGTAAACCCGATGTTTTTTGAAAACCAAAATACTCGATGTTACTTTTGGAGAAAAACTGACAAAACCAGGGCAAATGTTGCAAATGAATCAAGTTTTGGTATTTACACACAAAAAACTAAAGAGATTTTGTTTGAAATTTGATAACATCTTCAAAATACCTTACGTTTAATATCTTGTGTGAGTACTGAGTAGCGTGTTGTGTCTTTTTTACCATATTTCCCCCCGTTTTTTTCTGGTCAATTTTCGTTTTTTTGTAGAAACTGCCTCACACTATACTGTCAATAGAACTAGACCTAGAGCGTTTTTCAATCAGCCAGTCTAGGGTCTGCAAAACATACTGTTTACAGAAAGTCCCAGTCTGCAAGATTTGTGTGATCTACAATTAAATGAAAGTTTTTGTACTTGTAGAAGAGTATTGAAAAGGATCATCAAAGTGAACAGCAGATTGATCCAACACCATCATATGCCAGCATTGTCAAAAACGAAAATCCTTATGAAAAACAGCCTTATGAGAAACAGCCATATGAGAAACAGCCATATGAGAAACAGCCATATGAGAAACAGCCATATGAGAAACAGCCTTATGAAAAACAGCCATTTTGGATGGGTGGAAGAAGAGAGCAGTCTCCAGGTATGAATGTTTGTTTGCTTTGAAGCTACAGAGTTACAGAAGAAAGGCAAGGTTTGTCTGCCTTGAAGCTACAGAGTTGCTCAATTTCCTAGTTGTGCTTTTTTGTGATCAAATTGAAAAATCTGCACTTTTGAAAAAACCTGCAATCCTATCAATTGTGCTCGCCTGAAAAATATCCACTGCCCTGAGAAAATGTAGTCCCCTGAAAAATCTCTACCCCACTGTAAAATATCTCTACCCCACTGTAAAAATCTCTACCCCACTGTAAAAAATCTCTACCTCACTGTAAAAAATCTCTACCCCACTGTAAAAAATCTCAACCCAATCTCCTCTATAAATCCCCACCCTACCCCTCCATGTAAAATCTCTCCCCACCCTCTCTAAAAATTATTTACCCCCACTCCATTATAAAAGATCGCAACCTCACACCCACTATATATAAGAAATTATTTGCCCCACCTCATTATAAAAAATCAACCTTATCCCCCTCTTTAACAAACTCTCTGCAATCCTATCGATTGTGCTTTCTCCTGAAAAATATCCACTGCCCTGAGAAAATGTAATCTCCTGAAAAATATGCACCCCGGAAAAAATCTCTACTCCACTGTAAAAAATCTTTACCAAATCCCCTCTAAAAAATCCCCTACCCTACCCCTCCATGTAAAATCTCTCCCCACCCTCTCTAAAAAATATTCACCCCACCCCATTATAAAAAATCTCAACCTCACCCCCACTATAAAAAATCTTCATCTCACCCCATTATAAAAAATCTCAACCGCATCCCCCTCTTTAAAAAATCTCCACCCAACCCCACTACAAAAAATCTCAATTCAACCCCACTACAAAAAATCTTCACCCCACCCCCTCTATGAAAAATCTTCACCCCACTCCACTACAAAAGTCTCCACCCCATGAATAGAGAGTTCCCTTGATCTTTACTTATCTCACTTCGTGTGACTTTGGAGTTTGGACTTCAAGTGTATGAAAGTTCAATTTCTTATATATATTTGATATACTTGCAGTGTTGAAGCCTAGTTGGGAATCTGAAGAAAAAAGTGCACCAGTTGCCAAAAAGATGAAGAATTATCGTCAACCTGAGAAAATGCAAGAAGATAACAATAACACTCCTAAAATTTCTCCACAAGACTGGCCACCAAGTTTAAAGTAAATACAGCTATATTCTCTACAGATCTATATCATTCATTGCCAAGTTAACTCTCAATGTGCCCTCAATATTTTGCGACGTTTCTGCCACAGTTCAATACTAAGAAAACTACAGATTCATAAAGATACTACTATACCTCAAAAATACAAGGAGAACTTCGACGTTCTAACTTCCTGACGAACGCCTTGAATTCGCTTGAAGCGTTGAAATTTTCCTTGTAATTACCAGGTAGTTGTATCCCTATCAATCTCTATGTCTGTTCGTAACCAGTAATGTCCCATCGTCTCTAGGGACTATGTCCAACGTGCGTTTGATCAATGCGAAACAGAAGAACATAAGGACATTACAGAGAATCACTTGAAGAGAATGTTGACAAGAGCTTTCAAAGAAGGATCTGCTTGGGGAGTCAACTGGGATAAAGAACCGTTGCCAAAGTAAGTCGCTTTTGTTTTTTATAAATAGGGTACCGTTCTTGTCCTGCATCTTCGCTCTGCGATTAACTACAATTTGAAGCCTTGAATGTCATTTCCTGCATTCTAAGTACTACATTTACATATTTGTTAAATTTCTCCTCACCCTACTTGTATATCAGGCAAAAATTGATGATCGTTTCAACTCAGCGGTGAAAAAATTTGTTTGCAATGCATACGCGATGTGTCAGATGTATAACTCCTATGATTCATTATGTACATAGAGCAACGGTTTTCAACTGGTTTTCTCATGTGTCCCCGATTTCACATGATTGAATTACCACGTCCCCTGAACAGAAATTGCCCACTGAAGTCTATCAAAAACACGAATTTCGAAATAGTTAGTAAAATAGTAAATGATTTAAATTTTAAATAATAGATAGAAAGTCAAGCAAACATGTTTATAGTACAAACTATTGTATTCAACTATTGTATTCAACTATTGTTTTCTCAGTCCTAGACCAGTTTGTGTCCCCTAGGAATTTGCCAAATGTCCCCTCTCGGGGACATGTCCCCCAAGTTGAAAACCGTTGACATAGAGTATACGCGATATACGAAAATTAATGCGCTTAACCTATAACATAATCTACACCAACTGCTACGTTATGTGGTTACGGCGACCCGCCGTATTGGCGCTTGAATATTTTCTCGCGTTCTCAATAATCAATCGTTTCAATATAATAAATAATATTCACAAATCTAAACTTAATATGGAATACCAGAGTTTTCTCGCTGAACACCACTAGGGCACCAGTAGGAAGGATGCGCGCCCTCCTACATCCCCTAAGACACGCCTCTGCTGTCATTAGTAAAACTTGGACTTGTACACTGGTTCTACACAGGGCCCATTTTCACTCCACGGACAGAAAATATTCCGAAAATATTATTGTTCAAAATTCTTTCCGACTGAAAATTTGTGTCGGCCAATCACATTTTACAAAATTTTCTTCCTGCCGTAAATATTTCTGAGTTGGAAATGGACGTGTTTTATCTATTCTCGTAGTGTGCGACCAGATCGCGAATCAAAACGATCGAAACTTCTCCGACGACTCAGTCAACGACCAGCAAGCCCGGAGAGGGAAGATCTCGAAGTCGTAGCTCGAGCAGATCTCGCAGTCCTCCACCAAGTATATCTAGTAACAACAGTTCACCTGAGATCAATAATAGAAAACACAACAGAAGAGCAAGAAATAGGGAGAAACAGAGAGATAATGAACATCCAGGCAAGAGACCCAAGTCTGGGGGAAAACGTCAGAATAAGAAGAAGGAAAACAAGTAAGTAGAGTTTATTTTTTATCAATCTGATATACTGTACTAAAGAGTTTGTCTCCTAAGCCTGGTATACACTGATCAAAGTTCTGTGATCACAGTAGGAATTTTGCATGGGTAAATTCTAAGTTTTGAAGGATTTTTTAAGAGATTGACTGAGTGTAAACAATGAGCTATTTCCCCTCAAAAATTTCTTACAAATCATGAAATCATTCAAAACTTAGAATTTACCGATGCAAAATTCATACTGTGATCACAGAAACTTTGATAGTGAAACCCAGCCTAAAGACTATGTTCACATCTCACTGGAGTGAAATAATGTCAGACGCCACGTTTTACGCCTGTTCACACTAAGCCGTTTATAGAGTACATACACGTATTTTTGTTGTCGATGTACCCAAGTAAAGATTTTTTTATATAATATAATTCAAGTAATACCTTGTATTTGCAAGCATATCATTTTGGCGTTGTGTCGGGAGTGTAATTTAATGACCTAGCTAGGGGGCTGTCATGTGTCGAAATGTGACTCCAACCCTGACACTGTAAGATGCTGAAACCACCAGCTCCATCAGTGGGGCGTTCTTGTCGTTCATTCATTCAACATAATGTTGTTTTTTAGAGAGAACGTGTTTGCTCCCATTGACCCCGAGAGCCATGAACGTAAACAGAAAAGAGCTGCTCGCTTTGTCGAAACTTCTAATGGTAGTCCAAGTTTGTTTGGGAGCCTCCTTGAAAGTTTGAATTCCACGGTAAGACATTTATGTAATACTTCAAACATGAAAAGCAGTTTATCAAGCACTGGAAACTGCATTTCAGCACGAGGAAAAACATTTAGTTTCATTCTCTAAATGGAAAGGTTTTAATATGTGAAATGTTTTGTAGCTTTTGAATGAAAATGAAGATGAAGAAAATATTGATTGGACGAAATTTCATATCATTGGCACTTGTGAAGAACTGGAAAAACGCTTTTTTAGGTTAACGAAGGTATGTAGATCGTAACTATAACTACCGTGAAGACCCATTTCCACTCAAGAAAAATTTCCACCGACAGAAAATTTTCCGAAAATATCATTGTTAAAAACTGAAAATTTTAAACTTCAAAATTTTTTTTCGACGGAAAAGTTGTGTCGGCCAAACACATTTTGCAAATTTTCTTTCTGCGGAAAATTTTCATGGGTGGAAATTGGCCTTAGTGGTAGAGCCTGTTCGCAGGCTACCTTAGTGGTTGTAACCATGTAGGAGATTAACACTACAGAAAACTATGACTTTATCATAACCCGATCTTGTTTACTATAGCCTCCAGATCCATCGACAGTCCGACCTCTGGAAGTGCTGAAGAAATCCCTGGAGATGGTGAAGAATGATTGGAAGACTAAACAGGATTACAGATACGCATGTGAACAACTTAAAGCCATCAGACAAGACTTGACGGTATGTCGAGAATGTTTTGAAATCAAGTTTGCATGTCTTCTGCACATAATATCCATTTAGGTCAGGTTTCCGAAAACCTGAATCCTGATATCGACACAGAGACGGTGGCAAGCCCTTGGATTCAGCAGATTCTGTTGCAACTCGCAAACAGTCATTATTTTGCTTAATTTTTCTTGTATTATTTTAGGTTCAAGGCATCAGAAATGATTTTACTGTGCTCATTTACGAAACCCATGCGAGATTAGCGTTGGAAAAGGTAAATACTGTAATCTTCCAGTTTAAGTCGATAAGCTCTTTAGGGTTTTTCAAATGTCATGTATATATTACTTTTGTAAAAAATATTTACTTCAAGAACACCATTGTAATCGTTATTTTTCAACGGTTGGAAGTTTCTTCATTGTGAGTTATTTTGATCCGAGTTTTTCTGATCTGATGATGATGTTGTTGTTGTTGTTGTTGTTTGATAGATAGATATGTTTAAACCTATCTGTCATGTTGTTTGTTGTTGTTGCTTGTTGTCGATACTAACCGATCATACAAAATGCCTTCGGATTTGGCGCTTGCCTGCCCTGCCGCTTCCGGTAAAGAAACTTTTCAGGGGGGGAGATGTTATTGTCTATGGTGTTCTAACTTACATATGTTTCTTTCTATAGAGTGATAGTGCGGAGTTCAACCAGTGTCAGTCTCAATTAAAATCTTTATATTCTGGAGGTCTTAGTGGGAATAGGAATGAATTTACAGCATATCGGATTCTTTATCTCATTTATACCAACGACACTAGAGATATCCTTTTATACATCTTTTTCTTACGGGGAATATGTCATCATGCACAATCCCGTATTGTTGGATGTTTTAATGGTGGGAAAATGGTTTAGAGGTGATAGAGCTATTCAGTATAAGTAAAGTTATTTTAGTTTTTCTCCTATTGGACCAATACGGGATGTACCTTAAAAACAATTTAAATAGACCCTGATAGAGTTATCCGTAAAGAAGCTATAGTTTTACTTCAGTTGTACTATTCGTATTACCATATAGATTATAGTAATATACAATTTTACCTTAACTGTTCTCACAGCTTACAACGACCATGTCAGCTCTCCCGGTTGAAGAGAAAAACGACCCGTTTATAAAGCATGCGTTAAAAGTGCGCTCCGCGTGGTCGCTGTCAAATTATCATTCTTTTTTCCAGCTTTATTCAACAGCACCGAATATGGGCGGATATCTTTTGGACTTGTTCGTACAACGGGAAAGAGAGAGGGCGATCAAGATTCTGTTAAAATCGTGGGTTATATCGCTCCTTCTCTTGGGGCCGTGTTACGCGAGGCAATTTTTCCCGCAACTTGCAACGAGACTTCTGACATATAGGGCGTGTTCCTAGGCATCAACTATGTCGCTGACCTCAGAATGACATTTCGTCAAAACTTTTTCGTTCAAAATTGGTTTAGAAACAAATTTGGAATAGGGTTAGGTTAGGGTAAGGGTTAGAGTGAGGCCAGCGAAATAATCTCTTCCGTGTTCCTATGCCCCTTTGGTACGGATATAAAATTCAATTTGTGTTCATTTTCGCCGATTTTGACCTGCACACTTTAGTCTGCTGGCTTCAGCATGTGTAGCGCCTCGGCATGCATTTGGTAAGTATGACATCACATGCGAAATTCACTTCTTTTATTTCGCATATGACGTCATACTTACCAAACGCTAGCCCAAAATTGAACAAACCTGCCAAAAACAGTAAAGGTCCTAGGTATAGCTCACGATTTCTCGGCCATGGTTCCGTGTCAGAAATTTCGTTGCGAGATACGGTAAAAAGTGCCTAGTGTAAACTTGGCCTTTTGGGGTTTGCTTAAATCGGGCGACGATCTAGAATGTGTCCATACCGCTCTCGTTAATACAATCTATGATAACATTGATGCATGCAAGACCTAAGTCCAGCCTACCCCTAACCTTAACTTCCTAGCCATACCTCGTATATTAATCCTTACCTTATCAAGCACCTGGATGTTACTCCTGTAACCAGATTAATATCCGCTTTTTCATTGATGTTTTCTTAATTGTAACAACACTGACAGAGCTATTTGGGCGTGTCCTTGATCATTGCCCCGGTTGAAGCAAACCCCGTTATCTTTTTAATTATTTATCTCGCTTATAGTCTATTGTTTCGCGTCAACCTCGTATACAAGCCCTTCCTTCGACGTTTTGAGAGATCGAAACGTCAGAGCGTCATGTTAAACTCCCCTTAGAATCTCTCTAACCCCTCTTATAAAGTGTTCAACCTTCAGTCTCTAACCCCTCTTATAAAGTGTGAAAGTCTTTAACCCTAACGCCTAACCCCTGTAAAAAGCTCGCTCAGTGGTGCCGCTTGCACCCGCTAGAAATTTTCCCACCCCTCCCTTAAAAAAAAATGAAAATCCGCCCTTGCAGAACGTTGTTTTCGGGTAGTTCAGTCGCTTAGTGACGCACCAAGGCCTATGCAAAATTTGTGGGACTAGCATGTCAGAAAGAAGTGTCGACTAACGTAGTCCTTGCTTCTCCACCAGTAATTCTGCTGGTGGACCAGGGCATTTGAAGAGGATTTTTCACCTGAAACATGAGTTGGACTTGGCCTGGCTTGTGCACGAGGTTGACATGTATGTTTTATAATATCCGTATTCTCCTTGATTTCTTTTCATTCTGATGCTTTCTGTGAGGTGCAGAACTACCTTTTAAGATATAGCGATGTCTGATTTTTCGTGTACAGGAAGGCTGTGTAGTAGTGGCGGAAGTCGTCACTTTTAGCAATTTCCCTTTGCTAGCAAGTTCAGACTTTGTCGTATCTTTTACAAGTCGTTGTGAACCTCACAGAAACCCCTGTTTCTACACCTGCACTAGACTCAAAGTTTACAAAACTCTTACCTGACTTTCCTTGCCTAATATATTCTCTCTGTTCTCCTTTGCTTCTATTTCTTCGTATTCCCCAATTTTTTCTTCGTTGCATTTCATTAATCCCACCCTCCCATTCCTACCTGTTTTTATATGTCCCCTGTTACTAACTTGTTATACTTTTTTCTTTTCTTTTAATTGCCGTTGTATGATGGTGTTGACAACTATAGCTATCGCCCTTTCTTACCCGTCGCGTTCGTTCAGTCGGAATTAGCATTTGTAGACGAAGCGACATGTCAGGAATTCTTCAAGGGACTGGGTCTAATCCTTACCGCCGATAATACAAAAGTGGACTGCAAGCAATCACAAGCCATTTTATCAGCAGCAGCCAGCTAGCAGCGTCGCTTCGGTTTAGAGTAGAGAATCAAATTTATCTCAAATATTTATATATTTATGTATATATTGTTTCTAATGAAGAGTTTATATAATGACAAATGCGCATCGCGTGAGCAGCTCGTGTTTGTGCTTGGTCGTGGATCTCCGTCGTCTCCTGGAATCCCTCGTCGTTTCATGGAATCATTCGTCGTCGCCGTTGTGTCCACCATTGTCATCACATGCAATTCCTCACTTGTCCCTTGTTGTTCCTAGTTATACAGATTTATACCTTGTTGTCCATTATTATCCTCGGTTATCACCTATATTCCTTAGTTATCCCGCGTTATTCAGCATAATCACCGGTTATCCACCATCGTCCCTGGTTATATCGTATTATCCATCGTTATCCTTGCCTATCCATAATTATCCTTGGTTATCCCTAATTATCCTTGATTATCCATAATTATCCTTGGTTACCCATTGTTATCCCTGTTGCTGATTTCCTGTTTAAAAGTTAAGTTAATATCAAGTTATGGTATGGCATGTTAAAGTGCTTCAAGTTAGATGTCTGTGTGTTTTTTTAAAGCAGATGTGTTTTGGTTCCATGGTGTATGCTGTGTTATGTGTGCAATTGCTTCTAAAGTTTTCTAGGTGTTCCACTGGTAACCCCACCTCGAAGTGTCCTGCTGTCGTCGTCCTCGCCTGGAATCCTGTTCCTTGCTGCTGTGTTCCTGAATTCCGTCGCTCACGCGTGCGCATTTGTCAATCGGGAACATTTCGGGACACTAGTAATTCGTGATATTAGAATGTGTTTGTCAGTCTCCCTGCCAGTTGTCAAGGAGAGTATTTTTGTGTGCGAATAACCGAGATTTGCTCTATAATCTTGGTAAAATGATCACATTTCTAATTCAGTATTTCTTTATGCAGGTTATGTAAATGGTAATTTACGGTTTGGTTTTGCAAACCAGAGAAAAAATAAAATCACTCGGATTATTATGTTGTGCGTTATTGGTTTCTATTGTATTCATTTGTACTTGCAATTAGAAATAAATGGAGTTCGGTTTGTAGTTCACGCAAAGCGTATGTCTCTTTCACACATGTACACACACAAAAACGCACAAGTTGTTACAAATCTGTTCACAAGCTGTCGACAAGTTGTGTTTGCACTGCTTGTTCCCAGTTGTTGCAACAAGCTTGATGTCATTATCAGACTTGTTACAAGGTTGTTCTAACAAGCCTGATACAATCTTGATATAACAAGAATGTTACAAGGTTGACAATACAAGGTTGTAACAATATTGTTATAGGGACTTATAGCATGACTGTATCGATCTTGTTGGAACAACCATGCAACAAGTCTGATAATGCCATCTAGCGTGTTCCAGTTGTTAACAGCTTGTTCCAAATTGTTGACAACTTGGGACAAAGCAGTGCGAACACAACTTGTTGACAGCTTGTTTGGCACACTTGCTACAAGTGTGAGATTTTTGCGTGTGTAGTCGTCCGATCATAACCTCTGTTCAATCGCATGTGCGAAGGTCTGCGAAGAGTGATTCTACACGCGTAAAAACGCGCAAGTTGTTACACCCAGTTGTTACTCAAAAAGTGACTCAATTTTCTCCAAAATACTCCAGTTTTTTTACAGTGATATATCGTGACCAATTTAGCCCCGACAACTATACACACGTTGTGTTCCAGCCAACAAGTTGTGTTCGCACTGCTTGTCCCAAGTTGTCAACAAATTGATATTATCAGACTTATTGCAAGGTTGTTCCAACATGTCCGATGTAGTCGTGATATAGCAATATTGTTACAACCTTGTGTCATCAACCTTGTAACATTCTTGTTATATCATGACTGTATCAGACTTGTTAGAACAACTTTGCTACAAGTCTGATAATGCCATCAAGCTTGTTACAAGTTGTTAACAGCTTGTTCCAAATTGTTACAACAACTGGGAACAAGCAGTGCGAACACAACTTGTCGACTGCTTGTGAACAGATTTGTAACAATTTTTTTGTAGACCGATAACAAACTTATGCATTTTTACGTAGAATCGAGGTAAGAAATTTTGCACATTTGAAAATTGACTGGTTGCAATATATGCTAAACAAGATTTTTGTCGATGTTCCGCAGACCATAATATGCTCGGTGGTCTCCAACGCAGGCATCTCTAGGGATCGGCGGAAAAACTACCCATTCGCAGGCTAAAACCTCGTAAATAGTTTCAAGGATTTCAGAATATCAAACTTCCGGCACTTTATGCTAATCACAAGAAACGGTGGTTTAGTGTTCCGTTTATGTGAAGACAAGCTTGGTTCTTTCAAAATTTACTCAAGAACTAACACAGAAAGCTTGAGCATGACTATGAAAAGATCTTGCTTGGAGCCCAAGACGCTTGAACTGTTGAACATTTGAAATCGTTCGTTGGAATTTGATTATTTACTTTGCAAAATGCCATCACTGACACTCTTTGGCCGTGCATGGAGATTTGGCAGTGATGATTTTACGTTTCCCGGAGTTGCTGGTGTGCTTTTACGCGGTTCTTGGTATGTTTGTAGCTCTTTGTTGAAGAAATGAACAATGTGCTAGTCTATAGTTTATAAAAATAAAATGTTATGTCTAGTTTATGTAAACTGAGACCTAATATCTATGAATTTTTTATGACTTAATTTTATATAAATATATGGTAGTAAAGTTAGGTTTATTCCCCGAGTTTATTATGCAGTAAATAAAAATTGTTAACAGTTTTTCAGGCAGACCTTGCAAATTCTGTGTGGAAATTTTACAGTTTCCTAGTATAGATTTGTAATTGTAAACAAAACTTACAAACATGCATGTTTCATGTGATATGTCACGCTTTGCAGGTTGTACTTGTAACCGAAAGTGAATTTATGATTATATTGTTACAGTGGCGTAGCCATGGGGGGTCCCCCCCCCCACTCTTCATCGAGACCACCATATCCTTCGAGATATGTTTAAATCTGTTGAGAAACTG